GTCACCCGCCTGCCACCAAGTGATCCAGAACATATATTACATCTCAGGTTCGCTCGCATCACTCACCGTCCAGAATATACATTTTTTTTGTATCAAGTATGCTTCGTAGAGAAGTAAAAAATTCAAAATGCTTATCTAATACCCCATCCCCGCTTCCTCCTCCACAACTGCTACCTCCACCATCTAATCACTCTCCAACAATTTTTATGTCACCTTATCATCCTCTGCTGTTATATTAATGTATCTTGAAAGGAATTGATATAATTCTTCCTCATTATCTGTATTGAAGAAGTCGAGTATGAACTCGATTAACTCATCACTTGTACACGATTCAAAATCAAAATCAAACATTGGGAGGTTTTCACCGAGCTCATGCTCGCCGAGCTCATTCTCGCTGAGCTCCTGTTCTTCGAGCTCATGCTCGACTTCTTCATCCTCCTCTGAGGTGGAAGTATCCCCAAATCTTTCTACGATTGGGACATCCTCGTCCTTCTCAATATCATTTCCAAAATTATACGGCATTTTAACTTTCATTTTGCCCTCGCAAGACTAGACTGTTCACTACACTATTATACTCGTAAATGAATATACTGGTCAGCTGCTGGTTTTCACTAAGATTATATAGTGAAAGTTATTGCAAAACATTTCCTTTTCTCCTTAAAAGTCTTTTATGTGTTATCATACTATTTTTCTTTAAACGCGATATAAATGTTTTGAAAATATCTAGTGAGAATATCTGAAGTATTACACATTTTTAATATGGAACGATGGAATGGTACCGTACTGTATGGCGAGACAATTAATCTCGGAAGCAGTAAAAGGAGACAGTTCAGCGATCGTATTTGTGAAGGGGTTGGAAAAACGCAAGTGGTTAAATGATATTTTAAATAACGACTACATTGTGAGCGAATCCATCGATACACATTATGAAAATATTAAATCTCTCGAAAATCTCGATTCTAATAACACATTTCGATGTGTAAGACACGTAAAACATTGCGC